TTATTCATTTTTGGCTTTGCTTCAAATAACATTTCATAGTTTTGTTTAATACATGTTGTTGTTGTTTAAATGCTTGACACACAACCTTTGCTGCCGCTGTAAAGATGTGCTTTAGTCACAGAAAAAAAGGGCATCAATCAATCAATCAAACTTTATTTGTGAAGCACTTTTCATACAAAGAAAGCAACACAAAGTGCTTTACGACCATTAAAACATTAAAAACACAGCAGCTCCGTTCGCCTGCTTGGACACACGTCCGCCTTCCTGCAGTGGAAATTTTTCGAACTAGATAAACCCCAACTCCAGGTCTTTTTAGCCAGAGTTGAATTTCCTTGTAGATGTGGAGAAAAGAGACACCGCACTCTACGTGAGTGTTACAGGAGGAACGCCTTCACTGGATCTGCTGTCTCCTGTTGCAGCGGTACTTTGTTAGGCCGTAGCTTGCATCCATTTTCTGTGTCTCCGTTGTCATTGTTGGGATTAGGCCATTTAACCTGATTGCCAGAGAGGGTGACAGAGGGTGGAAGGTTTGCTCGGCGGAGGGCTGGTCACCGCGCTTCATTAATGCAAACGAGCGTACAGTAGTTAAACTTAAATGAGATGGTACTGATTGAGCACGGCTGGACCCAGAGGCTTGGGTTTCTGGCCCAAAGAAAAAAAAGCAGGAATTTGATTCTGCTCTCTGATCTTTCCTTGAGGACAGAAACGTACCCTGCAAAGGCTATAAATGTTGAACAGAATGATGAAAAACTAAAAATAAACTGGCTTAGGTTTTGCTAAGTAGAAAAATGGTCTGATGTCCCAGAGCCCTGCACCACATGGCTCAGCCTCAGACCTGCCTCCCTGCAGATTCAGGAATACTTACTGCATCTTTCAGCAATGTCGTAGGAAGTCCTTCGGGCCAGGGAAGAGCTCCACTGTCTTCGCTGATCAGATGTCCTCGAAGAAGTAACCTTCTAGAGCAGTGCAAACTGACACCTGGCCATTACTAATTGAAGGGAAGTGTGGGTTTGGAACAGCGAAGCTGACATCTGTCACACTAAACAGAGCTTGCTCTACATCTATAGGCACACATGAGGGTGTGAGGGTGATGAATGTCCTTGGCTGGCTTCTTAGGGCACATATGAGAGGAACAGCTGGCAGATCTTCAATGAAACACATCAGGCTCACCTAGCTTAGCACTAAACAGAAGCACGACAGAGGGGCACGAGACAGTAAACCAACCTGTGAGCGCCATGCCTTCTGTAATTCACCCTGGAGAATAGACAGGGGCAGCAGCGCTGGCAGAAATAGAAGGTTTCCACTTCCTCCATAAGGCTGCTGGGCGCCCACAGTCCTGCAGTCTGCGACCAATCACAGCACACACGTGTTTAGATTTGTCATGCCGCTGTGCTCCAAACACTGAAACAGATCCGCCCACCTGACAATGAGGCACCGGCCTGTTCACCTGATTCAGGTTACGCATTGTTGTGATCTCTGGAAACACTTACTGCATTCATGCTGTCAAACAGGAGAAATGTGAGCAGACAGATTCTGAACAATAATTCTAAGTCAGTTTTTAAGATTTTATATTTGTTTTCATCAGGTTTAATGTCCAGAGAAAGAACTGGTACAGCGTTTGTTTAGTGATGTCGTTTTCTTTTTCCTTTCAGACCTCATCTTGCTCTAGAATACAGCGGTAAGGTACGTGAATGTCATTATTTCATCTTTGCTTTCTCCTGAGAGTTTTGAACAAACACAATGAATTTAAACTTTCATGCATCTTTCAGGCTACAAAGATTCACCAGAGGGCCTTCGGTAATGACCATCCCATTACAGCCAGAAGCCTGGAGCTCATGGCAACCGTCTATGCTGAGATTGGCAAGACTGAATATTCAGGTAAACGCTCACCTGGGTTAAATGATACCGAGTCAGTGTGAAGTAGAACTACAGCACCGGGACCTCCTGTCTGCAGGTTAATAAACAGTACGTGATTAACCTCTGATTACATTTAGGGCGGAAACTTGTGATGTTAATCTGAGCAGAAGATATCTCCACTCTACGTTAGCGAGCGCACGTAGACGTGGTTTGAAGCGCTTCGTTTAGCTTTTAAACCGTGTCAGCCCACGAACACGTTAAATTAATAAACACTCGCAGTCATGTCGGACACAGGAGTGGTTTTATGCAGAGCAAGAAAAGAAAAGCAGCTTTGTGACAGTTTGAGGCCACGGTTTTGTTGTACAGTGTGTATGCTTGGCTTGCACTTACAGGGAGCAACACTCTGCCCAGTTCCGAACTCTGCATCTTTTTCTTTTTTTTCTTGGTGTAGAAAGCAATTGGTAGAAACTGGGCTTGCTGTTGAGTCAGCTCTCAGAGGCAGCGGTGCCGAACACGAGACACAAGTATGGACCACGTAAAGGAAAAGCTTTACAGCGTTCCTCGTTGTTCACCTCAGATGGTCTTACACATGTTTGGCGAAGCGGCGTGGTCTCTTTGTGCGACCTTTCATTTTGTATTGTACACAGAGGAATCCTCTCTGACCCACAGCGAGATGCTTCAACAGAGGCATGTCTAAGTGTTTACAGCTCTTGTCCCCCAGATACCCTTCAGCATAAACTGGGTCAGCCACCCTCCCTCTGCTGACGAACCATTTGCGTGCATTTGCAAGCTGAATTATTAGAGACTATAATAGCACTGGCTGAACTGGAGGGTATGTTATGGAGCAGCATGAGGGGATATTTGATTGTATTTACATGTGTGTCCCTTAAGATGGAAACTTCTTTATACTTTGCTCTTATTTCCAGTCATATCTCTACTAAAAATGTACAAATCCAGGCCAAATAAAGCAAAGTTTTTAACTGATCTTAATGTTCGATATGGAACTGAGTCCACAAAAAACACCAGGCATTGTGTAAAAACAATTAGAGTCAGAAAAAGGATGTTTATTAAATCTTAAAGTCTTTACAGATAAAATACAGTTTACTGCACACTCACTTTATTGAGGGAGTTTTAAATGACCTCAGACTGTAACAGATAAACTTATCGACTGATGACGCCACCTATCTGTGGAGTGACACAGCAGTTTAGTTGCTCTATTTATTCTTGAGGGTTTTATTATTTCACTGATCCACCTCGTTAATGGTTTTATTGCTAATTTTATGCTGTTTACTTGCGTTCTCTAAACGAGGCCTCTGCTTCTATGTAGCTGTAAGTTTAAATAAAGACAGAATAAATCAGCAGGTATTGACAGCAACCGGAAGATTTTACCTCTTTGAGCAGTTTATAAAGTACAATGAGGTCACGCAAAATGACATTTGAAGTCGTGGAATAATCAATATTTACATGCTTTAGTGCAAAGACCAGAGCTGGAGGTTTTTTTTGCATCAGCGTCTGTAACTTGACCCTGAGCTGCACCTGGTGCTGACGGAGTTAATGCGCCGGGTCTTTTCTCCGACACATTTGCATTTTTACATTTGTGTGTTCAACTTTAGCTCGCAGTGCGTCTTGCCTGCAGACTTGGATGTGACGCAGGTCTCGACTAATGCTCTGCCCGGTCATGGTTCTCTTGCTAGACTCTCTGGGTCAGTGTGTGTCCGCGCTGTCCAAACGCTTCGTCGCCGCCGAGTCCCTTCGAGACACCGTCAACTGTCTTCCTCATTCCCACCGGGAGAAACACTCAGAGGTACGCCACAGAAAGGACACCCACCACCAAGCGGAGGACACACTGAAACCTAAGGTAGGCAGAACAACACCTGCAGGCGTCTTGGGGCTCAGCGCCGTTACTCTGGATGTGAAGCAGCTTGTTTGCACAAGAGCTGTGCCTTCTAGCTGTTTGAAATTTCTCAGGAGCTTGCAGCTGAGTACACTCAACCTGAATTGTGTCTAACGCAGGTATCCAACTGCAAAGTCCCCACCTCCATCCTAAAGAGGCCAAGTCCCAGCTATGGGTCCGACACAGAACCCAACCACAGACGAAAAGGCGAGCGGAGGGTTCGATTCAGGGAGCCAGAGACCACAGTACATGGTAAGAACACTCAGCCTGCTCAGTCACAGATGGTCAGACCAAAAAGAGCGCACTGCCCTCTGGTGCCTCAGCATCCCGACCAAACCAGGCCGATGACTTCATGCTGCATTCACAAAAACACAAATAAGCGGATTCATACAGCGACTATGTGGCTGTAATTCTTTTTGTTTATTAAAACATTCCTTGACATCGGTGCCGTCCCAGCACACGGCTGAACCCTCGACTCATTTGTAACAGCTGTGTGTGTCTCGCACTTCACAGTAAGGAGGAAACGCAAAATGTATTGAAGATTGCATCGTAAACTGTTGTCCCGTGGGGATTCTGAACTATTTAAAAATAATGTAATGCTGAGAGACGTCCAAACATGAGCAAGTGATTTACTCTTTGCAATTAATTATGCATGCAAATGAGGCTCCACGGAGTCTGTTCCAGAGAGATAGTGGAGTCTGTGAGGGCACAGCAGCTGGTCTGTACATCACAGAGGTTGGCTCCTGTTGACTGACTGGCCTCTTTTCTGTCGGCTTCACAGAAATTCCTTACTGTGACCGTTTAGGTGGTAAGTCTGTCTGAAAGAATCTCTGTGATAACGTGCATGAGGGAGTGTCTACAACACTGCACTTGTAATAGCAACTGGATCTAACGTAGTGTAAATAAAAAAAACACACCAAAGAAGATTTTTGAGGTTAATTGTTGGGAAAATGTTGCATTTTTCACTTGACGTGCAGAGTTTAGCCGATCACCGTCACCCCCACTTAACAATCTCTGAAACACAGAAATGACAGTTTGTGTGACGAGGTTCTACTTACATCACACAGACTCCTCTAAAACACTTCCCAGGTGTCAGAAGGAGAAGCCAGATCTGTGCACGTGACAATTCAAATCCTCGTCATTTACAAATCAAAACTTCTCTGTGCCTCTCAGCCTACGAGACGACACCGTCCCGCCCCCACCTCGCCCTGTTCACCTGCCTCTTCCTGCTGATGTCATTCCTGGGCGTGGCCATGTACTGCACGGACCGCCGGCGCCCACAGCGGGTGTGCGAGGAGCTGGAGGCCGCCCTGGCCGTCTACCTGCTGCACATGAAACAGCTGCTGTGGGGCTGCTGGATATGGCTGACCATGCAGTGACTGTGAGCGACCACAGGAGGAGACACGGAGCCTCCTTTTATTTTTTTCAGACCCCTCTTTTTTTTTTCCTATCTTTGAAGGTGCCCAGGCCTACAAACACCTCAGCCGTTTGGCAAAAGGCTCTGCACACTGTCTGTGGTGTTGCACCACTCTGGCAGCGAAAAAGGGAAAATGTGTAATCCCAGAAATATGTAGCTTCCATGTCTGTATGTATATATGTACCGAGGTGGTGGGCATGCCACTCCCGTGTTTAAGTTGAAACGACATTTTGCACATCTGCAATGTTGATGCTCACATATAACACTCACATAACCTCCACGACCAGCTCATGTCACAGTCTGTTGTCTGTGGGTGAATGTTTCCATGGAATGCAAATATTTATTTTGTTACGGTACATGACTCGTGTATATCAGATATTACACAGTACTGAATGTGTATATATGGTTCAATATACTAAGGACTATCACAGTATTTAGCCTTGTAATTGCACATAAATGAATGTAGAGACGTTTGTAAACAGCTTTGATTGGCACAGCGCACATTCGAGAGGAGGAGGAGGAAGAAGAAGAGGAGGAGGAGGAGGAGGACGGGAGCGCCAGTGTGTAAACTGTTCGATAATGATCTGCGAGAGAGAAAACACAGGGCTGCATCACTTCACAGTACCGGGTCGGATGACTGCGAGATGAAAAACACCTCGTTCTTTTCAGGCCGTCTGGTCGTCGGTATGGATGACTGTCAGCCCATTCCTAGTTCCACGGAGGAGAAAATCTGCAGCACAATATTATCTGTCATCAAAGAGAATATACTCGAACGGATGCTAATGCTTTTTGACAGTGTTCCTCTTTATAACCGCTCGAAATCCCACCGAAAAACAAAAATCCTTTATCTTAAAATGTTATTTATTCTTCTATATTGTATATCTGCATCTACACAAGTATTCGACTTCTTTTAGATTTTTTTAACTTTTTGTTACTGGCAGCATTTCTATTTGAGACAAATATCCAGGTTTTAATTGTGATGTCAGTTCACATGGAGCTCTGGATGAGTGGGGGTGACAAACATCTACAACACATTAAAAACAAAACAAGGACGTTCTCCTCATACCGAGCTATTCTTTGAGGCCAAACACAGAAATATAACAGACCCAGATGTTATCATACGAGTCCCTTTATCAAATGAAGCAGGTGAAACTTCAGAACAGCCAAACCATCACACAGAACGGATTATAGGAGTCAGAGGGCACAGTGATGCACATCCCACATACCTCTCATTATGAGCAATAACACACATCACATAGTTTCCATTAAAACACTGCTCTTTATATAACAGGTTTCAGGGAACTCAAAAGCATTAGACGTCGGAGATCTCACATTTGAATGTCAAAGCAATATACGGCTAACAGCGCCTGTATAGAAGAAAAGAAAGAAGGAAAATGCTCTGGACTCTGTACTGTCAAACTAAATTGTCATTAGCAATAAAACGATACCCAGTGAACTCATGTCCTGTATATGCACATCGAGCTTAAAGCTGCATTTCACTGCTGTCCACACATTTATGGTCACTTTGAAAGAAGTGCCTTTATGGAGGGTTCTCTCAGTTCCTACCGTTTTATGATTTCATTTGTTTCGAATAAAACTGTCATTGCCTATCAAAGTCAAGCAGCTTTTCTTCCAGCAACCTCTGACAATAAGTGGGATGTGATGTTAAGGAAAGGGGGAGGGAGATGCATGCAGGTATATTCGTGTGTCTATTCACACTAATGCGATATATTGTCTAAAGTAGAAGAAGAAGCCTGAGTTACTAAATGGCACGAGATAGGATCTGTTTAGTTTTTACCTCACACAGATTGCTAAAAGCTTTTTCTGGACTGTCAGCCGAAATGTTCTGCACTGCAATTTGTCATTTTCTATAAAACGCCGTCTGTAGCTGTGGTTGATAAATACACTGCAAAAAGCACATTTCACTTTGCCGCAGCATGCAAAGAGTTTCTCGCTTCACCAATCCTACGGAAAAAAAAAAGCCTACCATAGGAACCCATTTATTGGTGTATAAAACAAAATAACATCCTTTTACATCTAAAAAAAACAAACACCCTATTAATTTGTCATGCATTAAGTCCATGCAGAAGTTACACAAAGACAACATGATCCATCAGCTGGACTAACCCAATCAGGAATACTGTGCAGCTAAATAGAAATTTATGAGAAAAAACTGGGTGTACATTTCATTTAAATGGTTTTAATACTATCAAAGCTTGGCTGGGGTTGTGTGTCCTGAACACACAATAAAGCAGGACTCTTCATAGATTAAGAACCACCTTTAGATGTGTTTTTTTTCTTTTTCTTTGACGGAAAATCGATTACCTCTAGAGAACAAAAGCTAAAATCGTCCATCTGATTCAATCCGTGGTCAATGGGAGCAGAAGCCAATTGATTCTGATTGTCTACACAGGCAAACATCGGTGTTTCTCATGGCAGGCGACGGGACTGTTACGGTTGACGGCGAATGAACGTGTGTGCGTTTTGTGAATCCTCGGGGTTTTCTAGATGAGGCCCGTCTTGAGGTCGGAGTTGCGGCGTGACGAGCGCCCGAGCAGCAGGTCCTTCTCGTGGATCAGGGTGTCCAGCAGGTCCTCTTGTCTGTAGTTGTGGTAGACCTTCAGGAAGGCCATCACCGCGATGCCGAGCCAGGTGAGCCAGGCGGCCCACAGGCCAAACTGAAAGAGGCAAATCATCATAATTAGGCTTTGGTAATTTATCAGAGCACCTGGACGATGCTGTCACCACTCTGCTGTTACCTGAGCTATAGCAAACTGGTCGTAGAAAGCAGAGTTGTCCAGGCCCAGCTCTAGATCGGTGTCCTGCAGGTCCTCGCAGCTGAACAGAAACGGGGACATTTTTAGAAGGATTATTTCACTGCCGCGTCTGAACAGGAGAGCTTCTGAGCTCCTGTCTGTCTCACCTGCTGGGCATCGTTCCACCCTCAGTGATGGCGTCGCACCACAGGTTGAAGCCCACGCTGACGATGGTGCTGGACAGGAAAACTGTGAACACCACCAAGGAGCTGATCAGCAGGTTGAGGAAGGCGTTAAAGATGGAGCTGCAGGCAGAGAGAGAACGGAGATGAGGGAAAGCTGTCCAACCTGTGCTGGAATCATTTCCTTTTTTCTGGAGGCCCATTAGACTGACACACAGGTGGGCCCATTACACAGCACGCTGTCTGCCTTTACATGAACATAATAACGGGTTGCTTTGATGTCACAGTGACCTTACACAGGTTGTGATTTAGATTTTTTTTTTTCCAGCAGCCACCTAAATGTATTTCACACACGGAGGATGACAGTGACTCAACGGTTTTACAGGCTCCTCCTATGGCTATCATTATAATACAGCACACTGTAAGACATGCATCCTGTGATTGTGACAGAATAGTGCGCGGATGAGGGCGTGGATGGACAGAAAAAGAAAAGCACATTTACATGAAAGCGTTCAACCTGAGTGCTATGTCCTGCCTCACTGAGCTTTTTAATGCAGCTTCTGGTGAATTGCATTAAAGGAGCACAAGTGCACAGTCACTCACTCGTCGTGTCCTTTGCACAGAAAGAACAGCAGCCTCCACGCCTGCACTGCGGACAGGATGAGGGACGCTATCCCGACAAAAGTGATGAAGCTGCAGGAGGACTCGGGTCCCCACTCCTCCACGATGAAGCGCTGCTTCGACACAGTGATGTTCTCGTTCTGCCACATACCCCGCGTGAACAGCAGACATTTGCCCCCGAAATCCTCCGTGTTCTCGGACAGAGGCACCACGGCGATGAAGCCGAACACGAAGGCTAAAAAATAAAGGATGCACTGGGCGAAAATCAAATTATCGAGGGCCATTTTCGCCGTCTTCCCTGTTCGGCTCGTTCTGCGTCCTGGAGAAACTGCGGCTGCGCAGTGGAGGCAGAGATGAGCGGAGGCGCAGCATCCGACGACGACGCTTTGCTGCAAATTAATGAGCAGGCTGAGGCCTTCGGGGCGCTCCATCTTATCTACAGCCGAGCTCTGGAGATGTGCCTCCTCACTGTGTTCCCATTCGCAACAGCTCAGATATTTAACAGTTAATTATGACATTTCTTTCTTTCTCTTTTTTTTACCCTTAACTTACCTTTTTTTCTGCCTTTCATCCACCCCCTGAGCAGCAATAGGTGTGATTCACTGCATTAGTCACTCTTTGACACCTGTACACTTATTTATCAGCTTGTCTCGGCGCTACAGTGAGGCTGTAGGAGGCTTTACTTAAGAAATATTCTGTCTCTTGTGCATCATCTACCCATAATTCTAAACCTGGAAAGTCTGTGATCCCAACTAGAATTTAAAATAAACTATGAAAAACGTTTGGCTGCACATCCTAATGTTGCACTGAGGGAAGTTTAGTTTGCTAATATCTCTGGTAAACTGTTCAGCTTATTTATGACTATTTAATAACCAGAGGGACCATGCTGACATGGGGGGCCACTGCAGGGTCAACTCTGGATCATCATTCAGAGCGTTCAGTGTACTGATTCCCTCGTGTGTCCCACATACACACACACACACATACACACTTGCTCACAAATTAGAGTAATGGTTTGTTTATACATGGTGACAGTCCTTAAGGAAGGGCAGGTAGCTGTCACAGCCATCTGACACGCCTCGCTGAGCCCATCTGGTGAGCCGGCCAAGGTGTCTCTCCCCTTCCTCGACCACCCACTCACCCACCGTGTTGCTCACACTGCCCTCCAGTGGGCAACATACCTGCAGCCTTTACATGTCGAGCATCATCACCATTAGCCTTAATGGACAGCCTACTGATGCAGGATGAAAAGTGATCCGTTGATTGTCTCCAAAACAAATGTAAAAATCTTAAGTATACAGTCAAAGTGTGCAGCTCTAAGCACACAACAGCAGCAGCAGCATCATCAGAGGCCCCCATTGAGTCATTTGACCTCAGGAGATATTAATAATCCTGCAGTTTCCTGGGAAATATACCATGGCAACATAAAGGCAAGTATTTGTACGCGAGCCTTCCAGACATCAGGCAGCTATTTGTATCCATCATACAAACTGCAGCATTTTGCATCATCTCTCCGCCACTTGATTTATGTGTCATTTTTGCTGCACCACAGCACTCTGATTTTCATGATGGTATCAGCTCTCAGATTAGCTTGAGTTATTGTGTTTGCGTGAGTGTGTGTGTGTGCGGGGCCGGCCTGGAAGCTGACTTCATTGCGAGGCTCTGAGGCAGTTTGCCTTTTAGCATCATTAGGCATTGTTACTTATGTTTCATGCTCGTCGCGCATTTTTCGCTGTGGCAGATCTTTATTCTTGTGCGGATGATAAACTGTCCAGATTACTGTTTCCTGTAATACATCACTTTCTGCTATCATACGTATTATGCTGCTGAATTTTTCTGCTTTTTCCAAAGAAAAAAATAGCACAAAATGACAAAAAGTAAGCGTGCTGACATGCTTACGTTGCTGACCTGAGACATCATCTGGTGTCAGATGTGCTGCCACAACTGCAAGGTCATGGAAAAAGGCCTAACAACTTCATAAGGCATCCCCTCCCCTCCCATCCCCTTGCACAAAAAAGGAGATTACACGCACCGAACTCCAAACCCTACTTTTAAATAATACAGCATGTGTGGTCTCGTGAACTGGGCACCCAGGGGAGACCCAAAGCAGAAGTGTGTCAAGCTGAAATATGTGTTAAGTTATTCACCCCCCAGAACAAGCCACAGAGGGAGAAGAGGAGTGAGGGAGAGGAAGGGAGCGAGGGCGGAGGATGCTAACCCAAATGCAGTCCCTGGGCTCTGTGCAAATATGGGGAGCGATGGGCAGAAGAAAGCGTCGGGAGGTCATCAATTTTTCATGAGATGCAATGGCAGCAAAGCAAACATCCCCTTTTTCAAGCAGTGGAAACCAGCGTAGAATCTAAAGTGCAGAATCATTTGCAAGGACGCTGTCAGTGCATTTTAAACTGGAACAACATGCATCCTGGTAACGTCAACCAGAGAACTGTACAAAGACATGAAGCACCGTGTTTTCACTTCTTTTTTTTTTTTTAAATGGAGCTTTAATTAGCAAAATATTTAACAATTTATGCTTCATCAATAATTCCTGAGAAACGTATTAATGAGTGTTTCTGACATGTGTGAGGCCACAGAGTAGAAACAAGGGTGTGGCAGGAAAACGTCACTGCTGCTGTCAGAAGCGCTTGACGAGGTGATCGATGGGAAACAGGATCACGTGACGCTCAAAATTCTCGGTGATCATCAAGTTAAAGACCTGTCCTTTGTCTCTGTGATGCATCTTCACGTTCTCTTCACTCGCTTGCCTTTCCTGGATCGGGTTCTTCCGCTCCTTATGGCTCCTTGCGAAGCCTTCCCCGAACTACTCCAACCTGCGGGCTCCTCTTTCTCCGCCTGCAACACAAAGTAACGGCGAAAACAGACACAATTACAGCCTCATATCCTGGGCAGTGATGTGGAGGGCCTGATGAAATATCCTGTACCCATTAATCTTTCCCCAGGGGGGCGCAGGAGACTGGGAGCACTGGGCCAGCCGCTGATTAAATGCTCCTAATAGAGGCCATTCATCTCCCCCTTGAATCTTGTATGTTTTCAACATGCAACATGACCCGACTTAACAACTCCCCGCCTCTCACCGTGTGCAAATATTGGTATTTTTCATAAAGTCGATAGTATTTAATTTGGTGATATCTTTTTAAGCGGGCGTGATCTCTCTGCGATTTGATGGATGACTTTGTTTTTCACCGCCGTGTGAATGTTTCATCTATAACCGTGCCAACAATCATCATAAACAGTCATGCATGAGGTCATGTGGGACGAGATCAAAATTCATAGTTTGCACTAATAACTACGTTTAATATCCTGATTTTATTATCTGTAGTCGCTCCGGCACAAAGTAGATGAGAGTTTGATCAGCCATTAAGGGTTTGTCTTAAACTCATTTTCACACATTAGTCATTAATCTCTCTATCTGCCAATTAAGCAAATCCTACAAGTATTATTTCTGCCGTGGATGAACAATTAGATAACGCTAACAGCCCTTCCTCCTAAACAACCCCCTGGAAACACACACACACACACACACACAGACTGGAAGGTAATAAATGTAATGCCATCACTGAAAACATGCACTGTACAACCAGAATAGATTGGCTGTGATAGACACACGCTGTTGGTACAGTATAGGCTGCTCAGGTTACGCAGGTATAATCATCATAAATTAACATGGCCTAATTATGTTTCACCTGCCAAGCTCCATATGGTCCCCAATTCTGGACAAAATAATTAGGTGACTACATCCCAATTAAACAATTATCCAATGAAATCTCTCTAAAGCAATTACCTGGCCATATCCGCACAATGATACCACAGTGCTTAGCGGTGTGATGCTCGGGTCACAGCACCGAGCAGCAATTTACAGGAAAGTAGTAAAATTTGGTTTACATCACAAACACGTGCCTTTTTTTTCTTTCTTTCTTTTTGGACAAATAACCAGCTGCTGCATTCTGGGATATTTCTCACTCTGTGCTTCAAGATGCTCCAGAAAATCATGAAATTGATTCATCCTGCTTTCATATTTGTAAAATGACATCATTGTAGGCGGAGACACTAACGGCGGTGATGTTTATGCTGGAGGACAGGAGAACGAGGGATGAAGGGTAGTAAAGAGGGCACCTGCTGGGTTGTGATGAAGTAAAATCCTCGGGGACTTAAAAATGAGATCATCCAAAGCCTGTCAAGCATCTTAACTGGAACAATAGTGACCCCTGTTGACCACTTTTGTCTCGTATCTCCTCGCGATGAATACATCACAGCTTCATGCGTTCTGCTTTCATGAGAACCACGTACCTGTTTGCCGTCTCTGTTGTCTCCTTTTTGCTTTGCGGTGAAGTCCATAAAGTTGGCCAGACTGTAGCTGTATGGCTGAGTCAGGACAAGAGAAGGCCGCTTATTATCTGTGAAAGAGCAAAAACAAAACCATACATATGGGTTAAAATCGTCAGCATTGCTCTCCAGTTAAATATCAAGAGCAGCAATCATCAAACACACAAGATCTCTATCTGGGCAGCAATGCATCTGACGCTTTTCTTTTAATTTTATGCAACATTGCTCCACTGTTATGTCTTTAACCCTTGTCTCGGTGACAAGGTTGGGGCATCAGTGTGGGGGCAACAGGCCATAGATCCCCGAGGCCCAGCGGTGATCAGCGCAACCTAGCAGATGGAGGGAGGTCTGCCTGCAGTGGTAGACGGTGCACCCCCTACAGAAAGTGTGTGTGTGTGTGTGTGGGGTGGGGAGGGAGCGGGGGGTTGTTTTTATGGATGACTGAATGCTGCAGCAAGGTTAAAGGAACCAATCTCTGACACCTCACTTCCTCCACGGTCTCCCTCTCCTAGCAGCCGAGGCCCCCTGCCTGTGTGGTACATGCACCTGCATCCTGCACCCTGCAGTGGACAACAGCTCCTCTGACATATAATTAAGTCTGGCCAGAACACACACACACACACACACACACACACACACTGAATATGAATCACATAACTGGGGTTTTCAATTAGCATATTGCTAATGACCATTTTGCAATGTTTTGGGGGCTTTAAATGTAAAATATGCAACGACTAGCTCATGTTTTATTGTCTCTGCGGACCAATGTACACTGTACGGTTATATCGGGAAGGTTTATTATGGTTTGTAAACAGCATCCACACTTCCTCACCTGATGAGAAACCTGATCCCGGCTCTGTAGCAGATAAGACGCCCCCTGAAGCTCTTGGAGTCTCGGTGCTCTGTTGCCACCAGCTGCCCACGCTGCAGTGATCAGGCCAGGCTGAGGTGCTCGGGAAACAGGCGTCGTCTGTGTTTATTCCGTATTTTTGGGAAGTGTCATTGGCGGTATCAGAAGGAGCGGAGGTGGT